CTCATCTGAGCCACGGGTGCTTGGTGTAGGTGCCCACAGCTCTGCAGCCCAGCCGGCTGCCTGCCTGCCTTTCCAATGGGCAGGGCTCGCCTGCTTCCCTGCCCCAGCTGGGAGGATGCCCTTGTGTCATGGAAGAGCTCCCCAGGGGCCTGGATGTCAGGATCTGGGGGAGGAAGAGGAAGGCCCTCTGCAAGCTGACCCTGTATGATAACTGCCCAGTAAGGAAGGACAGAAGGGTGACAACCTGGTCCCTTTGCACCCACTTCATATCTCTGGGTTTTCCCCCCAGCCCTGCATGTTCCTCCTTTACTCCTTCAGTCAGCTGCTCTCAGTCCCGGGCTGTCCTGCTCATCTTTCTCTATTTATCCAGGCCCACACCAATCTGGCAGCTCATGTGTTTTGTGTTAACTTGCCTGTGTCTTTGCTTTTCATAAATTCTGCAAGGGTAATTAATTTGAACTTCTGGGGAGTCTCACTCTAGAGATACTCCCCAGCAAGGACAGCCCATCTCAGACAGTAGCTCTTTTCCCAGGGATGGGCCGACTGCAGTGGGAAGAGCCTTCAGCACGCTCCAAGTTCCCTTCCAAGAAACATCACCAGTTTGGACCTCTCCTTCAACTCCTTGGTCATGCCCCGTGACAGGACTCTCCTGATGCATTTCCCTTCCCTGCGCTCTCTCAACCTCTCTAGCAATGTTATGCCAACGCTGAGCCCAGCAACCTTCTCCAACCTCGGGGCGCTGCATCTGCTGGACCTGAGCAACTGCGGCATCACCTCCCTCCACACGGACACTTTCCAGGGCCTGGGAAACTTGCACACACTGCTCCTAAGAAACAACAGCTTGCAAGATCTTGATGTCTCTTTCCTCCTGCCACTGAAGTCTCTTTTCCACCTGGACCTGCAGCACAATGAGCTGGTCTCCATGGACACTTGGAGCCTGCAGCTGATGGAGACAGTCCCACAGGTCCGTCTGGAAGGAAACCCCTGGGTCTGTGACTGCACCGCGCACCCTCTGCAGCAGTGGCTGCAGCACAGGAAAGGTGAGCGGATGGGGCAGGTGGCAGGAGAGGTGTCGGGCGGGAGGAACTCTGGGTTAGGGGTCCTGCTTGATCCTTTCACTCCAACCCCTGGACAGGCTCTGAAATGGCTCTCCAGAGACCTAGCAGGATAATTTAGTCACTCTTCCAGGAAAGGGGCTGCATGTACACTTCAGCCCCTAAATCCATCTTTATGTAACTCTGTGGAGTGACCACATTTTCAAGAGCTGCAGAGGGCTTGGCAGCTCCTCCTGTGGAGCCAGATCAGGCTCTCACCATCTGAGCTCGGCTCCCAGGGCAAAGCAGTGCAGTTCCTCTCAGTATCCGTGATTTTGGCATTGTTCAATTAAAAGGAGCCTGCTAATCACAGTCACACACTTGCACAGTTCCTTGGTCAGGGAATTTTTCCTTTGGTTGTGCCTTACACTGTGCTGAGGGCTGGTGAGGCTGGAGGGCAGAGCCAGGAGCACTTTGCAATGCGTCCCATCCACCCAGGAGCAAGCAGAGATTGCCTTCTCTAAACTGGGAGGGGATGGGTGAAGCCCCCTGTCTCACCTTAGCCCACTTGTCCCCCAGCCGTGCAGGTGACCTGCGTGTCGCCCCCGGGGCTGCGGGGCCAGGAGATCGCAGCTCTGGATTCCCAGGACCTGGGCTGCCGGATGAAGCACCGGTCTCCTCGTGCGCTCAGCACGGCACAGCAGATCACAGTGACCCAGAACGACAGTAAGTTGTGCAGATTCAGAGGTGTCTGTAAGGTCTAGCTCCTCCCTGCCCTCTGTCCCACGGGAGGGACTGCAGGTGGAGACACAGTGCAGATGCAGTGGCTTGGTGAGGAGGGTGGTCACCACCTGGAGGTGTTCGCTGGCTTCATGACAGAAAAGTTAGCAGGTGCCCCAAAGCCACGTGGAGCACGGACTCCACAGCGGTGGGCACCAGTGTCAGACAGCTGTCAGGCAGTTTTGCCCTCAGTGCTCACACACCCTTGGTGAAGAGCATTTACGTTGCTCCTAAGGAAAGCAATCCAGTGCTGGCTGCACCCTGCAGACAGGCACAGGGCTGGCAGATGGGGAGCACTGGGTATGCCACAGGCTGACCATGTGCCTTTCCTGCGCCACAGCCACCGCCACCACGCTGCCTGCCACTGGGAAGGGGGGAAGGAGCTGGCCATACCTGGTGGCATTCCTGGTGACAGCAGTTGGCATCTCCATCCTGATCGCACTGGCTGCCAAGTGCAAGCTCATCCACAAGAACTTCGCCAGCTACCGCCACCGACCGCTGCCTGAAATCAGCTCCACTGGAGGCAGCCCCATGGAGGACAGCAGCAGCTGGGACAGGGGCTCCGTGCAAGCTGACCTGCAAGCTGAGGATGATGATGGCTTCATCGAGGACAACTACATCCAGCCCAGCGAGCAGCTGCCAGACAAACAAGAGCGGGACTCGCATCTCTCCATCTGAGCTCACAACTCAGCCACCACTGCTGCAGCCTCTTGTCATCTCCATAGCTCCATCCCCTTGGCTTTTGATCCCACATGTTTGGGGGCAGGAGGAAAGGAGCAGAGAGGAGGGGAGAGAGGGATGGGCAGGGAATGGTGATGGAGGCTGAAGGAAACCAGCCCCACAGCGCCCCAGCATGACACCAACAGGCTGCACTGTCACAGGGACACCAGACCTGCTGCTGCTTTCCCAGTCTTGCTTGGATGCTGAGGATGAAGGAGATGGTGCCCATTGTGCCCAGGAAGCCTAGTGCAGTGTGAAGAGGACCCTGCCCTGGTGCTCTCTGCGGGGTCTTGGGCACTGGCCCACTGCACCAGACCCCGTCCTGCTCTGTCCCTCAATGTGTTGTCACTCTGGGGTGTGATTAAATCATGATTTAGCCCTGCCTCTGTCTGCAATGGTTTGTTGGGACTCTCCCTGTGGCAGTGCTGGGAGGAGACCCCCAGCCCCACAGCTGGGGTGTGGCTTTTTTTGCCTGTGCTTTCAAGAACCATAAATACATTCCTTGTTAACTTCCCAGTGTTAGACAGGATGACCTCAGAGGTCTTTTCAAACCTAAATGATTCTGTGAATCTGTGATTCCCACTGTAGCCCTTCTTCCTTTTCTCTGTTCCCTCTCCAGCAAGACATGCTGAAAGACACTTACCTTTCCCCTGTCAGCTCTGCAGAGCTGAGCAGATTTTTCAGTGGTGCCAGTTGCAGTGTCAGGCAGCCACGTGCGCTGGGCCGAGACGGCCCCGTGCCCCGGCTCCCATTACAGAGTCCTGAGTGCATCTCTAACCGTGGAGTTACAGGAACGTTGTAATTTTTGCACTCCTGTCATCTTTGTGGTACGATAAACAGCACATGAGACACAGGTAACTGCAAGTTGTTCCTGCTGCAGTCGGCTGTGCCTGCATGGGTTACGCTGGGGTTAAAAGCAGGGAGAAGCAGCAACATTTGCTCTCCTTGGTAAGTGATTCATAAGGCTGGTACCATCCGGTTGGGAAGATTTCCCAGGGCACAGCCCAGTCGTTACCATGCCTGATAGCACGGGAATCTTTTCCTCACGCTCCAGAGAGTGAAGCATCAACACAGGGACAGCATTTCTTGCAACCCTGCCACACAGTCAATTCCCCCACCTCCTTCAAATCCCTGTTTCACTGTTAACTGCCTTTCTGTTTCTCCACTCATTAAGACATTTATAGAGCACAGTGTATACAAAGGTAAATAATACACCTCAGAGAGTGTGAACCAAAGAGGACAAATGGGTCAGGCACTGGATGGGCAGTACAGCCCAGACAGCAAAAGTGACATTTTAAGCCATGAGGAGGAGGAAAACTTGCTGGCTTCCTTTCAGTTGTTGGCCAGTTTTTGCTCTTAAATATTTCTTAAATATTTTTAAAAATTTCTTGAATATTTTGCTCTTAAATATTTCTAAACTAAGCTTTACTTTTGCAGTCATTGTCTCGTGGTTTGCCTTCTGGGCTCATCAACTACCCATGAAAATACATTATCTACTGTAATTTTTGGAAATTTTTGATATCTTTCAGGTAAGATAGGAGACTTAAATCTGAGGGCTGGGAAAATGCATTTCATTTATGTTTTGGAGGGTATTTTCAACATGCTTTTCAATCACATGAACTCACACTAGATGCAGTATTTTCTTTTTAGTCTCAGTGATGTCTTAAAAAAGATTAAAACTACAAGTGCCCAGGCTTATTTATCCAGGATCTCACTCACTCTTGTCCCTCAGTACCTAGTGGTGGGTTGCTTGTCTACTTTGACCCTGCTGGCAGGCCCACCCGTTTATTTTTTAACCAAACTGACACGTCTGGTTTTCATGTGCAGTTTTTAATGCCCCCTCTCCAGGCAGCTCCAGTGCAAGTGGGCACGAGCCTGGCAGCTCACAGGGAGGGAAATACACCTGGCATGCAGAGCTGGGATTACAAGGGGTCAGAGCAGAAAAAGAGGATCCTTCTCAAGGGGTTCAGCCCAGGAAGGTGCCAGAAGGACTGTGGTTGAGGCTGGGGACGGGACTGGGAGCAGGTATGCAGGCAGACTGGTTCCAGGCTCCTTGCAGGGAGCAGCTGCTGCCACAAGGCTCAGCCCTGCCCCAGGGTAAAAGAGCTTCTCTGTAAACAAACCAGCCAGCACTGACATATTCAGGAAGCTTTGTGTGCTCCATGTGAGCATCTTTTAGGGTCACGGCGAGGTCACAGGTTCACAGAGGGGATCCGGCTACATCCAGGTCCTTAGGCAGAGGGACCTGCACTTGGAGGCGGGGGTCATGTATCAGGAAATAAGGTTTGGGGGCCATGGTGGCATTACCACACACCAGCCAATAATCCAAAAGCACAGCCGCAGGAGGGACCCTGGGATGTCGTGGTTTCTGCCCTGGGCCCAGCCTGAGCAGAGGCCAGCTCTGCAAAGCCCTGCCACCTCCTGATGTACAGAGAGGCCAGCACTCAAGCATCAGCTTCAACACAGTCAGCTTCTCTAACACTTTATTATGTATTTCCGCACACAATACAGGAACTGAGGAAGACACAAACCAGTACCCCTGCTGCAGAGGTGAGTCAGTGACTGGGGCAGCACAGGCTGTCCCTCTGGGCACCGGACACCCAAACCATCATCTTCAGGCACAGTCTGTTCTCAGCCATTCTCTCCTTGGGTTGCTGACACGGCCCATGATCACCCTTGTCTGGCACAATTCACAGGCACTTGGGGCACATTTTGAAGGGGCTCTGGAGGGGAGGAGGATTCACAGTGACACGCAGGCAGCGCGGAGCTGCGAGCTGGGCACAGCCACGCATCTTCACAGAAATGCCCAGATGTGCAAAACAGCTGCACATTGGGGCAGAGGCAGCTGTGGCCTGTCCACACGTGCGGGTTGGGGGAGCGGGAAATAACTGCTGGAGCACTGATGCAGGCAGAGGGGGTGCAGCCTGGCACAACTGCACAGGCACTGACACAGACGTGCAGAGCACCAGCAGTGGTGGTGGTGCAGAACTGTCCGGCTCTGGCCTGTCCCTCCCTGTGTATGCACAGTGGTCCCTGCTGGACCTGGGGCCAAACAGCCCAGAGGGGAAGGACAGCTCTTTGCTTTGAAGAGATTTAGCACAGAAAGATCTGAGCTCTGTTACACCCTCTGAGCTCTTGGACAGGTTAAGGGAGGAGATGCAGAGAGAAGAGGAAACAGCAGTTTAATAAAATCTACAGATGAAGAGAAAGGGGCAGAGGAAAATGTAGAAATAATAGAGATACAGAAAGAAAAGCCCAAATGATGTATCCATATTTTGGGGAAAAACAATCCAAGGCTTCAAGGGAAGGAAAGCCAGCAGGAGCAGGGCAAGAGCAGATGAATACAGATGCGCCCTCATATGATCTCACTGCATCGGGTCTGGAGCTGTGAAAGGATGAAGCCTTCATTGTCCAGCATATACCTTGTGGGGCTCACCAATGGTGAACTCTGACACTGCCTCCAAGTGTGGAGACAGTGATTTGTGCTTTTAGTAAAGGAATGAGCTACCATCCTCTTCCAAATAAATTTGCTACCAAGCACTAAAAAGTAATAGCTCAGTCTTGTGCCATTGCAGAGGAAACTTGGCAAATAATGAGCAAAACCAACATCTGGGGCAGAGCAGCTCAGATGAGGGGGAGATGGGAGCAGACAGGAAGATGAAGAGAAGGTTTTGCAGGAGCAGCTTTGCTTGGAGGTTAGGATATATGTCAATGGAAAGGGCAAGAAATGGGTTAGTAGGTCTCTGAAGGAAATGAGAATTTTGACAGGTAAATTAGTCTCAAATCACAGGAAAAGCTCCTGGGGTGAATTGTTAGTCTGCCTCTGGAAAGGACACCTTGGAGATAGACACCTTATAGAGATAAAACACCAAAAAAACTCCAGGTAAGGCCCAAGTGACAGCAGAAAAACTTTTTTGCCCTGCAGGAGCTGCAGCACTTGGTAGACAGAAACAGCATAGAAACAGGCAGGGACTGGGATGAGCTGCAGGGCTCCTGGCAACAGAGGTGTATCTGCTTGGGAAACTGCAGTGGGAGGGCACAGCCTCTCACACCACTCTTGCAGAGAGCTCCAGCCCTGGGATTCAGGCATTCCATCACCATCCCCCAGCCACTGCACCTTGCTGTTTGTGGCTCACGTGGCTGATGCTGGTGTGATAACAGAGCCCCAACACACAGTCCAGCATGGGTAGCCTGTCAGGGCCCTGACACCCCTTGATCACCCCTTTGATAAGCCACAGGTGGAAGAGATCCTGGCATTGCAAACACAAACAGAATTTCATGTGAGGTCCAGCCATGCTGTGGCTCTGGCACAAAGAATCCCATACAAATCCCACACTCACTCCCACAGACACACAGGTGCTTTCTTGGGAGCAGGCCCTGCAGCCATACCTCCCACCAGGCTCCCTTTGCCTGTGCCTCATGCCTGCTGACACAGAGTATTTCCTGCCATTCACCAGCTGCTGGAGGCTCTACTTCGCTCAGGAGCTGGAGGCCCTGCACAGAGCACAGGGTGGTTTTATACCACCCACAATCACAGCCTCTCCTGCCAGGAGAGCGTGTGACAGTTCCAGGACCTGCAGGAACCAAGCTAGTACTGGGGTCCCCAGGGGTACAGGACAGGCTCACCTTCACTCTGTGACACGGGTCACAGCCGGGCAGGAGCAGCTGTCACAGGAGGTTTGAGGAGATAAAACACCAACCAGGCCAGCACTGCACGCCCAACACAGCAGGTCCCAGAGCCCGTCCAGGCACCCCAAGTCTCTGCTGTGCCATCAGCAAAGCAAATGCCAGTCATCCCTGGCAGAAGCACAAGGCACATCACAGCTCTCGCCCTTCCTTCAGGAAAGGCCAGCACTGACAGGTCGTATCCACCGAGGCTCACGCAGAGGTGTCCTGGGTCAGATCAGGTTGGCCATGCTGGAGGTGGGAGGCAGCCGCCTGCTCCCAGCGAGGCGGCCGGAGATGGTGAAGACGCGGATCTCGCCGGTCTCCAGGCTCCGAGGAGCGGCCCGGCGGCAGGAGGTGCAGAGCAGGTAGAGCAGCAGGCAGAGCAGGATGGCGCTGCCAGCAGTCAGGAGGATGACCCCGCTGGTGAACATGCTGGCCAGCGGCCGCGCGGGGCTGAGCTGCATGGTCGTGGTGGAGAGGATGGTGAGCACGACCCCGCAGACCAGCAGCACCAGGGCGCTGAGCAGCAGCACCAGGCAGTCCGAGAAGCCCCCGCTCTTCAGGAGCTCGATCTGATCCCGGCTGCGGATGCAGTTCATGTCCTGGATTGCGGAGCTCAGCAGCTGCTTCAGCAGCACGAGCAGGGCCAGGAGGCAGAGCGTGGTGCCCACGGCCAGCCGCCACTCTCCAGACCGGCTGCTAGTGCTGTAAAGCAGGATGATGCCCCCGATCCCACAGGCCAGGATCAGCACCACAGCCATCCCATAGCACAGGATGGACTTTTTGGGGTCCTGGAACCACCAGAGCTCCACATGCTCCTCCAGGATGTTCCTCTGGATGTGGTCTGCATCTGCAGGGGTGCGGGGGCTGCTCAGCTCTGCCAGCTCTGGCATGGTGGTCAGCTGGGTGAGGAGGGCACAGTGGGGTGGTTGCACAGATGAATCTACACCCTTATGGCAAAGTGGAGGTTCAAGGCAGCAGCAGTGGTGAAGGCAGCTACATTTCTCAAGCAGTGATGTCTCTGTCTCATTCTTTGGATCCTCATGGAGTTTCCTTCTGCAGTGGTGCCACCTGGAGAGCTACGGTCCATGTGCTGAGATTGAGCCCACCATCCAGGCACGGCTGTGGAACATAGTGGAGCATTCCCAGAGCAGCACCATAAGGGAATAACCGGGGCTGTGTCCTTCCTTTCCTGTGCCTTTCATCTGAAAGAGTCAAGAAGAGAAGATTTCATTAAAAAGAGACCCTGCTCCCCTGTACCAATCAATCCCCTGCCGAACCCTGGGCCTTGGCTGCTCCAGGCTGGCCTGCAGACCTCACCCTGCCTCCCTCACAAAAGCCCTGTGTGTTGGAGAACAGATCATCCACATACATTTTCCCAGGAGACCTCCACGCACTTCGGGGGAACCTCAGCCTGGCCCAAGGGTGAGTCTCCTGCCTCCCCAGCCTTGTGTGCCCTGCTCAGAGGCTACTGGCACATTGCTGCCCACAGGACTCTGCCTGCAGCTGGTGCTGGCAGCAGGGCAGGGACAGAGCAGAGGCAGGTCCCTCCTGGGATAAAGCCCCATTCACAGCTCTGACTTCACATGCTCCCTCATCAGCATCAGCCTCTTGTCACCAACTGGCTCTGCTGCCCAGAAGGACAGCAGGAGGTGGGGGTCAGGACCAGGGTTTAACCCTTCCATTCCAGCCACTGGAAGAGCAAGAGCTGCCTTTGCTGCACGTTCTCAGCCTTGTCTCTACCCCTGCACTGCCAGTGGTTTCCCCTCACAAGTTCCTTAAAGAAATATGGTGGTTACATCTCCAGTTACATCTGCCCTGGAAAGAGCTGTCTGACAGCTGGGACCAGGCACCCCGAGACTTTGCTCTCCTCTCTGCTGGTCCGTGAAACACTTCACCACTGGAGGGGAGCAGGGGAAGGGTGGTGGTGGCTGCAGCGTGGAGGGAGGTTCCGAGGTGCTGTGCTTAGCTGGGCTCCCCTCGGCACAGTACCTTTCTCAGCCCACAGCCCGGCTTCCCAGCCTCGTGTCCCCAGTGTCCTGGTTCCCCTCAGTGCTTCTCTGTGTACAGTTTTACACCAAGAGTGGAAAAAACTTGAGTTTCTCTTACATAATGTGCCTCCCTGGCACGTCAGTGCCCCAGCTGGTCCCACAGCACCACAGGGACCCTCTAGAACAGCTCGTACCCAAATCAAGGAGAGGTGCTGCGGAGGACACAGCAGGAGCATCTCAGGTGTGCCCTGAAGACATGGGGTAGACACTGGAGACCCAAGAACTGCCTCTGTGGCCACCTCCCAGGCAGGATGATACCCCCTTGACTATCACAGGCAGACACACACAGACTGCTCTGAGCCCTGCAGGAGCCCATGGCAGGGACAGGAACTGACGCAGGTCCCTTGTGTCAGAGCTGTGTCACTTCTCCCGGGTGGGGTACAGCCACTCAGCACCCTGCCTGCTGGAAATGGCTCTCATGAGCCCGTCAGCCCATGCCAAGCACACTCTGTTTGTCTTCGTGCCCTGCTCTGTGTGGCGCTGGGACTCGGGGCTCATTACACACAGGCTGGGACAATTTGTGACCTCCACACATGGCAGCTCTGCACACACCAGGGATCGTTCCTTCCATTGCTCTCCCTGTTCCCAGACAGTCCCCACAGACCACATCCCCTTGTGGCATTGCCTTTGCTGCCAGCAAACACCTCAAAATCCCCTTCCCTTGGGGACCAGCCAACACAGGGTGGGGGGAGAGGGAGGACAATAGTGTGGGGGGTGCCCGAACCAGACACCGCCTGACAGCGTCAGGCCAAGCTCCTCCTGAGTCACTCCCCGGCTGTGATGGAGCATGAGGTCACTTTGGACGTGGCTCAGGGCACACTGCCAGAGGCAGCACGTGTCCAGGAAGTCTGTAACCACCGTGGGTTTGCAGGCCCGGGACCCATCACACCCCCTGAGCTGCACACAGGGCTGTTCCCTGCACGGCTCCTGCTGCTTGGATTGCCTGGGCAGGGAGAGGGCTGGGGCGCAGAAACCCAGGCTCCAGAGGGTACAGTTGCTGGGAGGCCTGTGAGAGATCTACAGCTCCTGGCTAGAGCCAGAACAATCAGAAAGCATCAATTAGAGAGGGAAAAGAGCTGTGGCTGAGCAGGCTGATCTGTGCCTGCTGGGACTCTGAGTTTGCATGAGACAGCAGATACCTTGTGCTGTCCACGTGTGCCCAGGACACGGGTCCCTGAGAAGGTGAGGATGTCACGGGCCACTTTCAAAGCAGAGGAGTGAGAAGATGTTGAGTCCAGAGTTGTTTCCCAGCCTATGCAAATCAGCTTGGTGCTAAACACTGCTTCCTCCTGCCTTTCCTTCTCCAAGCACAGAGGTGCCTTATCTCCTCCTTAGCATCAAATGGGTGAGTCTAGTAGATAGCAAATTTGTAGATTAGATTGAGATTTTGGACTGAGAAAACATAAAGCTTGGAGAAGTGCAAAGTCTGTGTCCTTCTGCTGCTTGACCCAAGTTGTGCACACAAGTTGTAAGTCAAACAGTAAACAAAAAAACCACAACAGCACAAACCACAATGAGGGAAAATGTGACCAAAAATCAAGGTACAGCACTGCATTCTCATATTACTCTTTAAAAGTTAACCATCTTAATTTTTTATTTGCTCAGAAGAAGGGCAGGGAGCAAGAGATAAAACTGTAGGAGCATCTGGCTGGGGGAAAAAAATAAGGTGTCACCTCTATGAGCACATATTTTCCAGTGTTATATTAACCTCTATTAAACAAATGATTTGGAGAGTTTCCCAGTGTTACATTAACCCCTATTAAACAACTGATTTGGAGAGGCAAAGGCTTCCACTGCAGTGTGCTTTCATGTTTCCTTCTGCCAGTTTGAAAATGTTCTGGGAATATAACCCTTGTTCTGTAAGAATCCACACATGCTTGGGCTTCCCTAGACTGTGAGGGTTTGTGCTACTACTAACAGTATTTTTACGCTTAGAATCACAGAGCAATTCAGGTGGGATGGGACCTTGTGAAGTCACTCATCCCCCTGCTTAAAGCAGAGTTAACCTAGAAGTCAGACTGGGTAGCTCAGGGCCCCATCTACTCAGGTGCCAAGGATGGAGGATCCACAGCCCCTCAGGAATCATTGCAGTGTTGAACCACCCTCACCAGGAACACATTATTCTTTAAATCTAGCTACAATTTCCCATTCCTCAGGCTGGCTGCATTGCCTTCCATCCTCTTCAGAAAAATCTCTCTATACGTTAAACCAAAGCTGTCACCCACCACTCCTTGGAGAAGGGATGACACCAGACCTCACCAGATCTGCTGATCTCGTTTCTTGGCATTATGCAGCACATCAGTTTGCCCAGATCAGATCAAGAGAAAGGAAGGGATATGGCTGCCTGCTCTGCCATGAGGGAGAAGGACAGCCTTTCCACAGCTGTGGCCTTTTCTGTCGGTGTTCTTTGGGCTACCTCATCTGGGACAGACCATCATACAGACCCCTTGGGAGCTTAAGCCACCAGATTAGCCTTTTGACAGCATGTATCACAGGTCATTAATCTCTAACTCACTACTGAACCCAGAACCTTCAGTGCTTCCGTCTCTGTGTGCAAGAGAAAAAGGAGGAGAGGACCAGCCCAGCCACACTATGCTTTATGTCCAAAGGGCACGTTTCAGGAAAAAATTGACACTCTGTCCTTCCCCACTGCTGGCTGGCAGCTGGGGAGGAAGAACAGGAAAACACTGGGAATGTAGGACAACAAAAATGTTCATGTTTTTCCTTTTTCATTATGTTTTTTTTTTTCCCCCGCTCTGATAACATTTAACTGGAAACTGAGGGTCATCATCGACAGTTTTCTGGCCACTCCTGGCTGCAGGTGTGGAAGATGCACACTGGCTGAATGCCTCAGAATGATATATGCATATATTTATTTACTTATGAACTCTTTATGTCTGACTGCCTGATATCTGACAGACAGGCCATGGACTGTATGTTAATTAACACTTTAATTTCAGAGCCACATACAATTCCGCCGTTGAAATACTTCTCACTTTCCTTCTCTTGCTGAACCTGAACCCAGGGTACCCCCTGAGACATTCCTTACCCACAAGATTCAGGAGGGGAAGTCTGGGGGTGGGACAGGCTCCTGCAGTGCTTCCTTGTACTTCCAGCCTTGGAAGAGTTTTATGCAGCCTTATGTGGACTTTGTGAGCATCATGGAGACTGGAAGAGTCAGCAAGATCTGTTGTAAAATAACAGCACATAAAATGATTTGCATGAGCAAACTAGATGAGAGCCAACAGAGCCTCACAATCTCAAACAAATCCAAAGCCATCGCAGTCCCCTGCTTTCCCAGTGCCTCACAGCTTATTTGCTTCTTGGCTAGGTCTGGCCATAGCCTGTTTGGGATGGATTTGCCACCCCTCTGTGCCTCACAGAAACCTTTAGTCCAGAACAGGCATAAATTTTTCCCCATAATTTCTTGTAATTTTTCCAACTTCCAATGCTTTAGGAAGCATTTCTTTATCAAGAGAGTCAGCCCTGAATTGTTGTAGGTCCCTTCCAACCAAAACAAGATATTCTGTTCTGTCTGCTGTATTCCAGTTTGTCTATTCTATTCTATTTCAATTGAAGAGGACCTAAAATGATAATCTAATCCAATTGCCTGACCAATTCAGGGCTGACCAAGTTCAGGCATATTATTAAGAGCATTGCCCAAATGCCTCAAAAATACTGACAGGCTTGGAGTATTGACCACCTCTCTAGGAAGGCTGTTCCAGTGTTTGACCATCCTCTCAGTAAAGAAATGCTTCCTAAGCATATTCAATTCGATTCTAACTCCCCAGTAGGCTAAAAGAGAACAAAGCTCATGTATCTTGTTTTATGCCTGAATTACTGACAATGCACAAATCAGAAGCTCTGAATGTCATAGTGCTCAAGGCTTGTCTGTGTCCCTGGGAGCATGTGGGAAGGTTTCCTCTCTTCTCCTGAGAACTCAGGACTGGGGACAGAGGAACCTGCAAAGAATAGGAGTAATGGGGCCTTCATGTGGCATGCCTGTCTCACCCAAAATCCTAGCAAGAGACTCAAGCTCTTTTCACTGCTACACCAAACACCAATTCCCACCGTTCCTCCTTTCCCGGGCTTCTCAAAATTCATGCAAAGCTATGCAGCTTAATCTGTACCTGTAGGGAGAGACCACTCTCTCTACCCTGCCAGAGGGATAATGCTTTCCTAGAAGTGAGCATCCCACCAGTGCTCCTGCCACAAGACACCCTTTGGGAAGCCCTGGGGAAGCCCTGGGTGATGGTGGACTGTCCCTTCCTTTCTCCAAGCCTAGGGGCTCAGGGGTTAAGGGTGGTGGAGGGCTTGTTGTAACAGGGTCAGTGTGCAGCTGCTTTTTACACAAATCTAGATAGCTTTGGCATGCTCCATTACAAAGTCTCGTGTTCCCCCTTCTTCCCTGCGTGCATAACAGGCATCCATTATCCTGACTCCGCAGAGCCTGTCCTGATGCACCTCTGCCGAGGGCGGCCTGGGAGTCTCAAAGGAACAAGAAACTCCCAAGCCTTACCTGCTGAGAGGAAACACAATGGTGCAAGGAAGAAACGCAGTGGAGGCAAGAGGCAGGATCTCTTAAGAAGTAGGTCTGAGGCAGCCCCCAAACCTGCCGGCAGCTCCTGGCGAAGCGCGTCCCTTCCCGCACGGCACAACTCCCGGGGAGGAGGGATCACTCACCTGCTGCCCACACGCGACAACCCGGCACAGCTTCCTGCTCCTGGCTGGCAGCGATGCTTTTTCCTGGCTTTCCTTCCACTGGATCCAGCTACCGAGGGAGCCCAGGGGGAAAATCCCTCCCTTTCCTCCTGCAGCTGCCTGCCAAGAAGCAGGTGCGGTGCCCCTGCCGGCTCCCCGTCCCGGTGCGACGCGGCAGCGCCAAGGATGGGCTGCGAGCCCTCACCTCTCGCCCGGGCAGGTGCATTCCCCAGCAGGGTGGCGTCCCAGCAAACCTGCTGCTGCTCTTGGAGAGGCTCCAGAGCCGCGCCGGTGTGCAGGTCCTACCCCTCCCTCCTCGGGCAGGATCTGGCCTCTGGCCACACACCGATCCTGGAAGGTGGCTCATTTCCTCCCAGCTGGAGGGGAAGGGGTGCCGGAGCCAGGGAGCAGCTCCCAGGCAGCAAGGTGAGAGGAAGCCTGCAGCCAGGTTGGCAGTGCTAGGGAAGATTTGACACATTCAGCAAATATTTGGTATTATGTGGCATTAAATAAAGCAGCTCCTGCACTACTGTATAGGCTAGGGCCATCTGGTCATATCAGACCTGAATCTTTCCATGGCATTAGTCCAGGCAGGCACTTAAGTCAGGCAAGATGTCATTGTGGTGTCATCTTCCCATGACAAGGCAGCTGCAGAACCCCTTGCTAGGAGACAGCAGAACCAGCAGAGCCTACTGTGCTGCAGAAGAGCTGACTTCCTGCTAAGTCCGTGGAAAGAAAAGGGTAACCACTTTGAGAGGAATTAGGGAAACAGAAAAGGATCCGTTTAAGAGATGAAGAATAAAAAAGGGAGTAGCAGGAACGCAGAAGTCAGTAGGGGAATGGGATTCCCAGGCTTAGTGATATCCCCTCCTTCATGGCTGGGCTTCATCATAGCAGAAGGGATCATTACTGATAGTCTGAGCAGTTGGAAAATCTCCTGGGAGATGCAGGAAGAAGAAAATGGGACTGAACAACAGCTCTTGTCCAGTTAATGGAAAGGGAGGCTCAGACATTAAGCCACATGCTAGTTTTTTTAGCAGGCTATGAGCAGGTAAGCTTAGGATATGCTAATCAAATAGAAACCAAGGAGTGTGACGGCTTCAGGAATTTGTCTGAGAAAAATCTGAGAGATCTTTTGAAATTTGTGAAATATCATCAATCCAGAGGTTGTCCTAAACCTAAAACAGCAAAGGAGATGTGGTGAGTTTTGTTATACAAACACCCTTAAACAATGAGATTGACCTTACTCAGAAAAACCTGGTCTTTTAGTTGGCCCAGTTAACAAAGAAGTCATCCAAGGGGAAACCTTATTCACATTTAAAGATAACCATACATTCACTTAAAAGAATGGGCTGTAGCTTTATAAGAGCATGAGATGCTTTCCAGCTCGTTTAGAGATAAAAGGAGAAACAGAACAATACGGATCAAGGGAGGATGAAAGCAGAAAGTGTCTTTGCACCCTGAGAGAATTTAGAAGACCATTAGCCCACAAAACCATAATCCAGTTACAACTTATTCTACAACATTTCTGCAGCGTATGCGTGGGAGTTTGACCTTTGTCTGGTTTTCCCAGTATAGAAGGGGCTTGTACAGCTACTTTGCTTCCAGCAGATCTTTGATAAACCTCACTTGTAACACTCTGCTGTGCCTGACTTTTAATGTTCCCCTATACAAGCAATGTTTTAGCTGCCTCTTAGCTGCTAAGATCAAGTTCAAAATCCTTTTCAGCCTAGTTTGGCAGGTGCTTACTTAAGGCTTCTTCTGACAGGCCTTGTATTGCCTTTAAAATCTCTCTAATGAGGGTGACACAGGGGCATATTATTGAGCACATCAGTCACCATTTTGAAATAATTCTTCACCTGTATATTAGGACAAGGTTCTTCTTTTTCAGAAAGATTGATTCCATTTCTCTAAACCACTACTGTTAAAGCAGTGCGTTCTATGATTCTACCACTCAATTTGTTCTGACAGAGAGAGGGGAAAATTACACCACATGGGAGCCTAGCAAATTAAAATGGGTGTGTGCTAAAAATTTAAGAGGGAACTAGTTTCTAAAATATTTACTAATTACATTAATTACATCCTCTTTCTGTACAGGAAGTATCAAGATGATTATATGGGGAGGGGAGGAGGAAGAAAGAGTGTTAAGATAGCCCATTAACAGACTAATTCCATCCTTCTTCCTTTTGCTCCTGTGAAACCCATGCTTCATACAGGTTGAAGATGCAAAATGGAAAAAAAAAAGACTAAAGAAACTTAATTCCATGTTCATGGACAAAGCACTCAGCTGGAGTCTCCAAAGTCATAGGAGCTCATGGAACCATCTATTTTGCCATGGTGTTACCCTGGAAATGAGTCCAGTATCCCTAATGGTAATGCAGCTTACCCGTTACCCAGCCTTGGCACCACCATCTTCTGTGTAATATTATTAGGAGGATGTGGAGAGCACTTGTCACTTTTCTACAGTTCAGGATAGGAAGAGAAACAGTAACAATACTGGCTGTTATAACACCATACAGTTCCATGCCCAGTCAGTAGCTTCAACTTCTGATGTATGTGAAGTACTCCTCAGTGAGACCTTGTGTCATGCACCAACAACCAAAGATGAAAAATTTAATTTTTTACCCCTCATTATTAAAGAAATGACTCCCTGCCTTTTTCTGTACATGAGTACTTTGCAGAGTGACTTATTTGGAGAATTTCACTGAAAAACTCAATTAAAGGGATTGTGGATGTTGGAAAAAAGACAAGGAAAAAAAATCAATTTATCAAAGTTACAGGAGAGTTATGACATAAGTTTTGGACTTTATTCCAGATTTCGCAGTCTGAAACTGGCCTGTCTTTTTGTCCTGCTGAAATTATTGCTGCAGATGAGGCAACTAATCTCTAGACAGGAGGCAGAGGCTTGAGCAAGGGCTCTAGCTCAGGTGTGCTTGAGTCAAAGGTTGCCCTCACAAGGTAACTGATTGTTAGTCTCTGACTGGATACCTGCTTGGAATAGCAGCAGTCCTTTGTATGGACACAGGCAATTCATTCCTGGAAAACAAAAGGCTGATGTTGAATTTTGCAGCACAGACACACCAAATTAGAATTCTAGCAGAAAAGGCTTACAGAGTTTGACCAGCTCTTCTCAACTAGGACACATTAGTTTTCAAGAGAAAGGTGACTACCTGCCCTAGCATGAAGGCACAAAGATTAGTCTTGCACTCACACAAATTTATTTTTTTCTCTTGGCTCCTAAATCTCATGGAAAGGGTGGATTCCAGGAAAGTAGAAGTGTTCAGAGCAGTGAGTGTTGCACAAATGCTTCTAGTGGTAGAGTATAGGATCATGGAAGTCTAATCTATGCTGTTGCATTTCTAATCTTGCCAGGAGGATATAATTATGTAAGGCATCCTTGAACCGGGTCAGTGTTGCTGTGTCTTGCAGCTTCTTTCCAGATTCAGCTCAGGAAGATTTCTGACTAAAGGAGACTGAACTTGGACAGTTCAGGACTTGCCCCTTCTCCTGGATTTGGTCTCGGAGATATTGAATTTCTAGCTGCTGAATTTCTATGATTTTCTCACTTTCCATCTCTGGATTCAACCTCAGGACAGCTGGGCCAGACAGCAGTTCACTGGAGGGAGCTAGAAGATAAAATCAGAGAGGACAGTAACAAAGGTCCTGCTCATACAGTTCTTTGGCATGAACAAGGGAAGGCATCTTTCAGGGCTGAAGCACTCGATCTAAGTAGTAAGATTCTGCAGTATTTAGCAGCTTATACAATTTATAATATATATAATATAATATACAATTTATTATATATATATATATAAATTATATTTACAATATAACAGGTATCACCAGGCAGACAAGCTAATGGAATTGTTCATCAAGGACAAAAAGGGCTTCTGTAATATGGTAAACACAAGAAGCACTATTCACCTGTGTCTTGAATTGCTTTCTTTTTCTTGTTCAATCTCAGTGCTGCCCGGAGGTCGTGCACCTGGGTGTTGGCCACCTTCAGTTCTTGCCTCAAGTCATTGATTTCCTTAATCAGACTCACATTTTCCTGCAAAAACATTATGCTGTATAAGGAAAAGCACAGGTACCATCTGGCTGAGCAATATGTACCTTCATGTCATTGAGAGGGACAGTGGACAGTGCAGAATCAGTATCACCAGCAGAAGATACAGGGCAATCAGTACAGCACACATTTCAGATAAGGCCACAGTAGATTTGACACAAAACATGACAGTATTCAAAGCACATTAGCTCAATAAACTAATATTTGCTTTGCTTTTCTGACTGCAGCTGCACTCCAAGGTATCATCTTCCTTGCCAATTCCACAGGGAAGCTCAGGGCTCTTCCTAGATTGATCCAATTAATTCAGAATTAATGTGAAGAATTCCCATCCCTCCCTCCAGTGTGTATTATTTTGCTTTTCATTTGTCAGTATGCATTTGTTCACTTAAATTATCTGCATCTCCTTGCAGTTATTCAAAGCCCTTTTCATCAGTTCTGAGCAGACATCACTTTTCAACACCCCCTCTGAATTATTAAGGAATATATAAAGTACATGGAGATTTGAGATATGTACTGCTAACATGAGGAGAAGTTAGCCAAGTATTTGTCTTTTGTTCTTTTTTAAGTCAGTTTTCAGCCCATAAAAGTTCAATACTCCAATTTTTTTAGTAGCCTACCATGAAGCATTTTGCTGAAGGAGCTGTGGAAGTACCAGTAAATGTACTTCACCCATTGTTGCAACAGATTCAAAGACTTCAGCAAAAGCAGTATGGGGTAATACTAGTGAAGGATGATAAAACTGTTGTTCATGATTCAGAAACGGGAGCACCATTAACTAAATATTTCTTTTTTGAATTCAAGAGACAGAAGTAGAATTGCATATTTGCCTCTTACAAAGACAGTAAAATACCTTATCACCTCAATAACTAAGGCAAATATTAAAGAGTTGCCATCATACTTGAACCAAGAATATCAACTATTTCAGCCACCTGTGGTGGTTTTTTTAGAAGTTTGGAAGACAGCACCACTCCAACCCCTGGAATTTCATCATAAGTGTCAATATTTAAAAAAGATAAACGGCAAAAAGGCATGCTTTGGGTACCTCACGTAATACCAGTCTCAAGCTGTAGGGAATCCACTAAAACAACAGGAGATAAGAACAAGGATTAATGAAATTTTCCCATGAAAAAGATGTCTTCAAATCTTGGATTTGTTTTGTTTTTGTTTTTGTTTTTTTTTTTAATTATGATTTTGGTTGATAATTATGTTACCATAAAAGATTATGCAAGGCATATGATTCAGTTCCTTACAGCATACTTATAAAAGTATTGGCACCACACAACTGGAAAGTGGTTAGTAACAAGGTACAAAGCTTACTGCAACTATCTGTAGATAGATGCACTGGAGTTCAGGTTGGCAGCAATAACTTTGGTTTGCTGGGTGCTAAAAGGCTGCTGGTTGACACTGAAGAAGCCTTCTCTGCAGAGAGATTAGCCTTTAGTTCAATCTTTGCATTCTGACAGAAAGCTTGCACTGTAATGCAGTGGTCATAGAATGGATTAAAACAAATGTTCATGGGAAAACTCACTGTCACAGGATGCTGTGGCAAAGAACCAATTGTTTCAGAAAAGGGAACTGATCAAGTGCATGGAGGATGAGGCCATCAGGTCCAACTGCATAGGATGCCTGGATGCAATCTGCAGCCTAGGGAGTCCCTACATGCTGACTGTCAGAGACAGGTAGGACACAGAGAAAAGATCATCCTATATGGGCTTCAGTTCGAGCAGCATGACTACAGGATTATTCAGTGTCTCTGCTCTTGTGTATCCAAGTGACAAATACAGAAGGCTGGAGGGAAAACTAATAGTTGTACAACAAGCAACTTGTCAACTGGTAAGAATAATTACAATTATCTTGACAGTTCTAATCATCTGTTGCAGCAGTCACTAGTGGAATGTACCTATGAATAATCACTCAAAGAGGAATGCATAACTCTGAAAATGTAAGAG